TGACAACAGCCACAAGTCTGCGAGATAACACACAAAACACAATGCATGAGAAAAATGCGCACAGTGTAGGATTAGGGTGAAATGGTGACTCTATTGCTAGAGTATGAATAATACAACAAGTGATTTCACTGAGGGAACAGTTGCGAAGTGAATACACACACTGTATAGATCACTCCAAAGGACTCTCCTTTGTACTTGATGAGGTAGACGGCTCTTCTTGAGGTGCTGAAAAGAGCATTAATCTCTCCAAATGAAATCATACAAATCTCACTATGCTCTGCTCCTATTTCGATATCTGGTTCGCCTATGTGTCTACTGCCAATGACTTCAAGTTCGACTATCGAACCACGACGACTGCAAGAGGCCGCGCATTTTGAGTAAACCTACACAAAAACAACTTGCGAACACAAGAACGTCAGTGTAGGAGTATATGCACATGGTCAACTACATAAGTTGATGATAATATGAAAATTCCATGGAAATTTTCGTCGGTTTTTTGCATGCTCTTACCCTAATGTGTAATACTCATAATATAGTGAGGAAAGTTTTGAGCTCGGCTGAGGAAATCAAACATGTATTTCAACAACAAAAAACGTAATGCGAACAACTTGACAGCTTTCAAGAGACGTTATTCGAGAGAAACCAGAGGAAACTCACCACGCTGGCGAATATCGAGGCAAAAAATACCAACGATATTATACCACAACTTTGCCGATTAGATATGTCGATGTATGATCCGAACAGGAGCTGTAGACCCACCAAGACTAGGATGAGCGCGATGCCTGAGAGAAATCTCAATAGTAGTAACGTGGGTCAATATAATAACTAGTGTGTGTCAAAGAAGGTGTCAAGTTGATAGATCGGCAAGGGGGTGAGGCTCCTACCATATTTCATGAAAACAAAGAGGTCAGCCAAATAGACGACCAGGAAGTACAAGGATCTCAAAGTTAACATAGCAAATATCGAGGAAGAGAAGTTAATGAACCTATGAACATATTCACATAGGACTCAGCGAGCTCATGTCTGTTACATGTCATCATACTGGGAGATCTTAGCTGTTACTGAGTCAACAGCAAATATCACATCTACCACACCAAGAACAATAACCACTATCGATAGAAGGGTAGCCTTATAAACTAGAGGCTCTTGTGATGGACCTTCCTCTGGGCTCCGGGGGGTAGTATCTGCAATGATGATGATTGTTTATTGCTAAGTATATTAAACGGATATACAGGGTGTTCGGAAAAACCCCACCACTCGAAATTATCAGACAAACTCTATTGATAGACGGAAACATTCAGGAATGGAATCTGCCAGGACTTTTCCCTGTACACAACTTTCTCCAAATGGTCATAACTTGTCGAATATAAAGAGTCTGAAATTGATTCAACTACCATTGGAGAGGACTTCAAAATGGTATTCGATTTTGTGTGAGATTCACATGCGCTACGAGGGATAGGCCATTTTTAGAGCACCCTGTATGAGGATGAATAGTATGATGTTAGTATCTATTACTATACATATTTTTCGAATCAATATCGTTGTATATAATATTCTATAAAACCAGATGATAATAAGTAGTAAGAAAAACAGTGACACAATCTGTCTACTATCGAGACATTACTAACACATTCTGTTTATAAAATGATGTAACATCGCCATACGTGGATAAGATCAGTGGACATCTTCCCTTTTGCGAGCATTCAAGATATTCCTCAATTCTCAGTCAAGTTGACTGAGTCAACTATCTCTCAAATGGTTCGCAGCTGCTGAGCGATGCTCGATGGCACGCATACCGTCTGTTCTCCAACTCGCGATATCAACAAGGGTGTATGCTCTACACCATACAAGATCCACGGACTCGTCAAAGTGATCAGAGAACTCTACTGTACTTGATACGGGTCATGGCAACGATGCTTCGGGCAACCGGCCGCTTGTCCATGGCTGTAAACGTTGCGCACTAAGTACATCTTCGTAAATTGTTGGCTGATAGGAAAGAGCCTAATCTCCCTCCTCATGGTGTTGGATATTATACCACTCCTTTCTCATATCTGGGTGCGTTTCTGTGTATAGAGTTACTCCGTCCCTGAGCGACGTGTCGTCTTCAGCGTTCACTATGCGTTTGATGTAGTGATGTCTACACCAACTAAGGAGTTCCGTCCGGCAGACCTCGCCGTAGCAATACGCCGACATACTTTCCCATCAGGTATATCGTGTACAGATATAAATCAATAGAATGTTAGTAGTGATATTTGTGGAAGAGCTACATAAGTAACCGTTCTCTTGTGTGCGTATCATAAAGACAGAGTAACACACCTGAGTGCGTCAGTCGTAGTATAGTCATTATTATACTCAGCTGCTGCCTCACAGATCCCAAATTCAGCTGTCAGTGAAAACTAGGAAAGGATGAGGAACTTTATACTCCTGTCGAAGTGATATAAACGCTGGCCGCATCTTACCATGAATTAGCTCCGACTGATCACACCCTATCGGTGGTCCAACCGTTCCTCGAGGAACTTTCACGACAAATGCTCCGTCAGAAGAATATGCATTGAACAGGCGAAGTCTCGAAGTTATACCTGGCAACAATAATACTCAGGATTTTCAACCTTGAGAATCTCATCCCTAACAAAATTACAACATTAATCTGATTCGAATTATTCAATTTAGAAACTTGCTCCCTGTCCAGCAATTCCCAGGGAAGTAGAGACGAGTAGGTTACACTGTGCACAGGCATTATTCGGATCGCCATTTTCCTGCTCATCCGAGTCCGTAGCAGTCTTATACCCACTCCATATGAGAACCTGCTCAAAGAACTCCATCGCTCTATGGTCATTAGGAAAGACGATACAGTATTCGAGTTAGTCACGAAAACTGTCCCCCGAGTTTCCATCAATCTGTACAACGACCATCGTTCGAGGATTTATCGTATCAGTAAAGCGAATGCGACAATGGTAGCTTACCAATCCGAATATATAACGGGTGAATGAGATGAGCTTAAAGAAAGTAGTACCTAAAGAGAAAATTTGAGATTGTTACGGTAGATAAATTAGCACACACCTAGGAAGAAGAATAGTAATCTTAGAGCAGCTGCCATACCAATGCCGTAGAACAAGGCTCGGTTTACTTGGCACTTCGGTGTGCGGTAGTATTTGAAAATCACCTGATGAAGGAAAACGTGGCAACACCCAATGAAATCATCTAGACTCATTTTCCACGTAGGACTAGGAACACATTCTTCGAACAGTTTCCCATGTAAATGCCATCATCACATTAGGAACATTTTCTCCATTGTTCGCAAACCCTGGGGAGCATTCTCTCTCAAAGCTGAATAGGTCCCTGGCAACACTGATGGCAGCAACAAGGTTCTGATAGTCACCACTAGTGTGAGAAAATATGATCAACATGGTCAACCACATATGTTGGTAACAACATGAAAACTCCGAGAAAATCCGAATAGAAGTGTACTGAAAACAATACAAATTTCCTCAATTTTTTTATTTCGTCACCAACACATGTAGTTGACCATGTGCATATATCCTCCCACACCGGTACGAGTTATCACCTGGAAGAAAAATACGTTGTCCATGCTCAGCATATACTCGAGAACATACCCGTTGAACCAGCCAAATGCAGCCTAAATAAAGAGGAGTGTCTCCAACGATTCGACGGCGTCTACCTCAGAATTGTAGCCATATAGCACATAGACGACAACGTTGAAGAGAAGCCCACTAATCAAGTACATAATACAATACAGCATAGCTCTTCGGGGAGGGACCTCTACTATTTTAGAACCTATAAAGTCGATACCACACCAATTGATAATCGTATGTTGGAGACGTTGGAATCACGATGCTACTGAGCGATCCGATATAATAAGAGGAGAATTCGAGGAATTCGTTCGCTTGAGGTTCTCTCACTAATTATAGGAGTTCAGAGTGTACAGGAATCGACAAGAATTTCTCAAATTTTCATAATTTCCCCACCACATGTAGTTGACCATGTGCATAATTTCCCACACTGTCCGACAGTAGAAAACGAGAAAATCATTGAAATGAACTCAGCCAGCGATAAGAATACATAGTCCCCACCTCTATTGATGATAAAGGCATCAATAACTAGCAAGGCCGCCACCGTGGATGCGAACACTACCCAGCATAACACCTACAAACAAGGAGGAGGAGAATTACTATTTCTCAATACCTTCAGGGCGTTGTAGTATTACACTGTTCCCACTAGGGCCACCAGTTGCTGC